TCTCTCTCTCTCTCTCTCTCTCTCTCTCTCTCTCTCTCAGTAAAGATACTGTGTTCTTTTACCCCTAAACACTTTAGTGTATATTTTGTAAGAACAAGTCATTCTTATATATAATCACAGTTCAGCTATCAAAATCAGGACATCTATACAATATATAATATATATAGTTATCTAATCCACAGTTCATGTTCTAATTTTGCTAGTAGTTCCCATAATGTCCTTTTTAGCTATTTTTCACAGTTTGTCTTCTTTTATTTGTAGTTTTTCTCTTATTTTCTCTTAATGTATTATGTTGAAAATTCTCCTAGGCTTGAACCATTCTGGAATTCCTATAATAAAACCATATAGGAGCACCTTGGTGCCTCAGTCAGTTATGTGTCTGACTTCGTCTGAGGTCATGATCTCACAGTTTGTGAGTTCAAACCCCGTGTCAGGCTTTATGCCAACAGCTCAGAGCCTGGGCCTGCTTAAGTTTTAGAGCCTCAAAAGGGGCTGAGAATTTGGGAATTCTCCAGGAATAATTTAGGAATCCAAGGAAAAACACAAGAATGAATACTACTCTAAATAGATGCAGTAGTAAGAACTTGTTTTGCACTATTCGTTTGCGATTAGACAATTTAAATATAGTATAAGCCTTTTTGTAGAAAATAGCCGACTAGAAAATTACCTTTGTTTCTGTGTTTTAACACTAGGGAGGTGTTCCCGTGGGCTTAGCATCGAAACCCTTTCAGATTCTGTATGGACACACTGATGAGGTATTGAGTGTTGGCATCAGCACTGAACTTGACATGGCAGTGTCAGGATCAAGGGTAAGATTTCACCTTTAAGAAATGCTAGTTTTTTCTACAAATTGTGAAACAATATTTAAATTTAAATTCTTTTCATGCTTGCTTTAGAAGCACATATGCTAAAATTGGAAAAATAACTTTTTTTCTAGAATTGGTAAAAGCATAGAAATTCTTTATTGTTTGTGTATGACTTGCAGAAATAGGATTAATCCAGAAAGAAGAAACTTAAACAGACTGGATTCTATTTTGGGATTTTATTGGTCTTATAAGTTAAGGAAAGAGGGCATTTTATGAAATAAAAGACTATTTCAAATTTCAAGATTGGAATTTTTCCTAAGGTACATGTGCCTTCGTAGAATAATCATTTTCTAAGTTCCTTTCCTGTATTTATTTATCTGGCCCTCTTTCTTTTTGTGTTGTTCTGTTTCTTTTTTTCCTATTCTAATATTTTCTGTGTAGGATGGCACTGTGATTGTACATACCATTCAGAAAGGTCAGTACATGAGGACTTTACGACCACCTTGCGAGAGTTCTCTACTCCTCACTGTTCCTAATTTGGCGATATCTTGGGAAGGACATATTGTCATCTATTCCAGCATTGAAGAAAAGACCAATCTCAAGGTATATAACAGTTTCATACAGTAGGACTAGACTATCTATAAGCCCATCTTTTCCTTTCCATATTATACTGTATTTATGAGATATTATTTTGTTTTAGGGATTTATATGGACTTATATAATACATGATTTCAAAACGAATTTCTGATTATGTGGGACTTCATAAACTTAAGTGGAAATTATAACCAAATTAAATTCTTTTTGCATAGCCTGGGTATGAAAAAACAAGCCATGAATTATGTTTATTTTTCTTTCCATGATAAAGCTATTTAAAAACTAAGAGAATCTTGGGGCACCTGGCTGGCTCAGTTGATAGAACATGAGACCCTTGATCTCAGGGATGTGAGTTTGAGCCCCACATTCGGTGTAGAGATTACTTAAAAAGTTAAAAAAAACAAAACAAAAAACTTACAGGGGCACCCAGGTGGCTCGGTCAGTTAAGTGTCTGACTTCAGCTCGGGTCATGATCTCATGGTTCGTGAGCTCGAGCCCTGCATCGGGCTCTGTGCTGACAGCTCAGAGCCTGGAGCCTGCTTCAGATTCTCTGTCTACCTCTTTCTCTGCTCTTCCCCCACACATGCTCCCTCTCTCCCTCTTTCTCAAAAAAAAAGGGAGGGGGGAGCACCTAGGTGGCTCAGTCAATTAAGCAACTGACTTTACCTCAGGTCATGATCTCACAGGTCATGGGTTCGAGCTCCATGTCAGTCTCTGTGCTGACAGCTGAGAGCCTGGAGTCTGCTTCAGATTCTATGTCTCCCTCTCTCTCTGCCCCTCCCCTGCTCGTTCTCTGTCTCTGTTTCTCAAAAATAAATAAACGTTAAATAAAAATTAAAAAAAAAAACCTTATAGCTTTAAAAAAAGTTAAGAGAATCTTTTTGTTTTATGTTAAGAATGCGGGGTTTTTTAGACTGGATGAGATTTTAATTCTTTTGGAGGGGTGAGAGTTCTTGTTTAATATTGTTTACTTAGCAATTATTTAGTTATTAAATATTTTCTTAAAGTATGAAATTATTTCTGATTTAAAATCACTTTAATAATATTGTCTACACACTCTCTTTATACATAACTGTATGTTTATTTCAACATTAAATTTGAAATTATTAAATCATTAAATTTTGAGATCATTAAATTATTTTCATCTAACTTTATAGGATAAGAGTGCACTACATCTGTTTTCTGTAAATGGCAAGTATTTAGGGTCTCAAGTCCTGACAGAACAAATATCAGATCTGTGTATCACTGGAGAACACATTATCACGGGCAGTTTACAAGGTTTCCTGTCCATAAGAGATCTCCACAGGTAAATATAAAGAATTGTTGAAATCTCACTTAAGAAAAGGTGGTAATAGGGCACCTGGCTGGCTCACTTGATGGAGCATGCGACTCTTGATCTTGGGGTTGTGTGTTCAAGCCCTACATTGGTTGTATAGATTACTTAAAAATAAAATCTTAAAAAAAAAAAAAAGGAAAAGAAAAAGTAGTAATACTTTCAGCCTAGAGTGGAAATCAGGAATCAAAGATTTCTAATCTTTTGGTTTATCATTTATTATGAACATGTCTTTTTTTTGGTAACTCTGAAAAAAATTGAGAAAGCTAAAGAATTTCTGGATTAGTAAGTGAAATATAGATGTACATTTTTAAAATGTAGGATATTTTATGTTACGTATATTTTACCACAAGTAAAATTTTTTAAAAAACAAAAAAAATTTCATAGTGCCAAGCCTCAATTATGGATTTAGAAATTTGTTAAATTATAGTTTGAATTTTTACAAACTAAAGTTAGGGTTTAATTTTTTTTTTTAATTGGGGTAAAACAAACTAAGGTATTTTTAAGGCTAATGTATGTGTTCATGATTGTGTGTATGTGTGTGTAAAATGGGTGGGGAGTCTTGTTATTAAAGTGAAGGGAAAGGATGTTTAAATAGTGGATACGTTTTTGAGCTTTGTATTCTTCGTATTTACTAGTTTATGTATACAAAGCACTGTTATTTCCTGTATTTGTATTTGTTATGCCCAAATACATTCTTTTCTTCCATTTTTAAAAAATTTATTGTGGCTTATTTACACTACTGAGACTATCTTGGCCCCTCCCAAGCCTTTCTTTTCTTTTCTTTTTTTTTCCCCCCAAACCTTTCTTATAAATCATTTCCTGATCCATTGTGCTCTATCCTACCACATTCATGTCAGAATCATTTCTGTACCAACACCCGTCCCTGTTTTTGTATGTCCCTTCTCATTTTTGTCATTCTTTCTCCTGTGGAAGAGCACTGAATCCCTATTTGAATCATATCTTTCCAACATTTTGTTTTATTCAGGGTATTATTAAGAGAATCTCAAATCAGGAAAATGAATGAGATCTTATAGCAGGTTAGTCTAAACACAGTATGTACTTCAGAGGATTCTTCATTCTGTAATCCTAAAAGCCATGGATATTTTCCATAGTTGAGTTATGTTTTTATATCATAACCATATATTTATGGTTTTAAATATTATGTATTATTTTATATTATATATTTATACATATATCTTCTAAGACAAGGCAAATAGACCGATTTTATTGACCTTACCCCCCAACACATGCACACTGTTTTAGCTTTTTAATCAACAAGATGAAAATCTTTTAGTGAGAAGATTTTGGTTAGAAGAAAAAATATATATATTTGGTTGTATATATAGTTAGAAGAAAAACAGATGTTGAGAATGAGAAAAGATAGATTAAGTATTTTAAGTAATGCTATAATGTAGGCCCTTGTGTGAGCCATTCAACCTTTCTGAATCTAAGTTACACATCTGTAAAATTAGAATGGAGAACCAGGTGATCATTAAATTATCTTCCAGGTATTAAATTCCATGAATACGTTATGTATCCATGTAATTATGTGTGTGTGTTTTCTTTCTTTTCTAGTTTGAATCTCAGCATGAATCCATTAGCCATGCGGATGCCTATCCACTGTGTTTGTGTAACCAAAGAATACAGCCATATTCTTGTAGGATTAGAAGATGGCAAATTGATTGTAGTGGGTGTTGGCAAGCCAGCTGAGGTAAAACATAGCATCAAGAACTTCTTTTCCCGTACTATTGGGGATTCCTTTGGTTCTCCTTTGTTCCAGCTGAATCAGAAGTCTCCATTATGGATGAACAAATTAACCAAATTTGATTTTTCAAAGGGCAGTAAATGAAAAGGCGATAAAGCTAGTATTCAAGAGTGATGTTTATATTATGCTTCAGTTGAAGGCATACATTTGACAGTTTCTGTCCTCTAAATGAATAAGAAAGTTCTTTTATTTTCTGTCTTTCCAAATCTAGATTCAAGACACGACTTGGATTTTTAATAAATAAGAGCCTTTATAAAAAATTAAATACAGGCTCAAACAATAAAACTATTTACTTTAATTTCAATAAATACCACTATGACTGTATGTCAATTATCCTTTTGTAAAAGCATCATTTTTTTACTTGGAACTACAGATATCCCCATATAATATCCTAATTCTCGGTGAGTTTCCTGTAGTTACTGTAAACTTATTTGCCAGTGGTTTATCAATTACTGAACATTCAGATATCATAAATCTGATACTGTTCCTTAGAAAACTTGGTGGCTATACTCCAAGTAATATAGTGATTCTGTTAGAAAGTTAATTGTATTACATAGAGTCAAATTAAGCATTATCAATTTTTATTGATACCATCAGTCTTTTCTGAGAAATCTAAAATATGGCATCTGTAGTAGTTGTTTCAAGAGAAGTCATTGGTGAATAACACAGTGTCACTGCTTTTAATAAATCTACCACGGATCATAGGAACCTTTTTGCTAAGTTTTCATCAGTTCTTATACCTGTTCAGGATATTATTATAACAAAAGAGAGGTCTTATTAAATTAAAGTGATTGCACCATTTACCTTCAGTTGTAACAGTCCCCCAAAGAATGTCAGCAAGTCTGTATCTTGGTATTTCACTTACATTTAAAACATTTTAGGCATTTTTTCTCTTTGAGTATGTTTCACTTTCTGTGGATTACTCAAGTGCCCTTTAAATTTGCCTGCATCTCCCCACCTTAAGTAATTTTTCAGTTTCTAATTTTACTGAATTTTTTTATATGAAGTGACCATTATGTGCACACACTTTTCTTTTAAAAATCGATTGGAACAAAAACGCCTAAGCAACTTCATTTTGTAGGCTTAAATCAGTGTTTTGTACTGTTTATTAAGTAAGTTTTTTGTCCTCCTTGAAAGTTTTATGTAGTCTACAACACATAGAATCTGAATTGTGTGCAGATTTGGAATAAAAGTATTTTTTATCTATTTTACATCTTTGGATGTATCAGTTGAAGTATGGATCTACTTTAGTACATAATCAAATACTTAGAATCTTGCATAATTAAGATATAATTCCATATGACAGTATGATTAAAGCTTTAGTTATGAAAAGATCTTTATGTAAAGATCTAAATTTATCATAAAAGATCAAAGTCTTGATTAATGTGTACTTTAAGCCATGTATCATTTTTGTATATTACACTGTCAGTATGAAATTCATATTTATTAATCATATGGTAAAGTGATAATAGATTAATGGAAATAATGTTTCTGGAAATGAAAATGCAAAACAAGCATGCTAAAGTGTCTTTGCATGAGGCTTGGTTTTTTTTTTATCCCTTTAATAAATGTACCCTAGAGAAGGGTAACCATTAAAAAAGGCTGGCAGACATAAAAAATAGATTATACTTGGGAAATTCCAACAAGTCATATTGTTAGTTTGAGAAATGTGTCCCACATGGATTCTTTTTTGCCTTACCTAGAATTATAAGCACTTTTAGAGGGGCATTTATTTACCGATTGGATTAATATTTAATTAATAATTGTTATGTGCTGAGAAGCGTGCTAGGTGGTACAAATTTAATGGTGAACAAATGTGATTCTCACCTTCAGAGAGCTTATGCTATACTTGTTCTCTAAATTATATTTTATCATTTTGTTGCTAAATGTCATTTTTTGAAATTCTTATATCAAAATACTCTAAAATTACTTTGTTTCCATCAGAACATTATTGTACTTTCTTATTATCCTTGTGATTAGCATCAATAGTACTTTAAATATAAAAGGAGAAAATCCTCAAAATTATGTGTCTTATTAGCTAAAGTAAAATTCAGAAGATTATTTTAATGAACTGTGAAATATATTTCTTTAATTTATAAAGAAAAGGACTGATAATTTGGACAAACTGGGACATTTAATTTTAAAATTTACACATTGGCATTAGACCTTTCTCAGTTGAAAGACAATTGGTATAGAGAAGCCTTTCATTAATTATTATTAATCGAGAATCATTAAAATGTTAATATGAATGATTCTGCTAACAAAACTTACATTCTTACATTCTGCATCCTACAAAATCAGTGTCTTATATATCAGTCTCACTTCTTTTTTTTCTTTCTTTTTTTCTTAATCACATCTGTTGTTCATTTCTCTGGATTACCTTAAACAGATGCGTTCAGGTCAGCTTTCTCGAAAATTGTGGGGATCTAGCAAGCGGCTCAGCCAGATTTCAGCTGGAGAAACTGAATATAATACTCAAGATTCCAAGTGATTACTATTTCCATCTTCTGTCATGGATAACTGAAACTTGATTTATTGCTTTGTCACTTTAACCACATCTCTCAACTATCTGAATGTTTCAGGGCTTTTATCACTGAAAATCATTTAGGGATTATCAAAATTGAATATGCAATGTGTATAAAGACATAGGTTGTATTATTAGCCACTTTAAATTTTTCTGGTTAATATTAAATCCAGTTGTATTGACTAATTATTGGTCTACACTAAGGTGAATTTGAGAAAATACATTTGAATTAGATTTGTGGTTCATTCCTAAAGATCATTAGACCCATTAAAAAAAAAAAAAAACTTCTAAAAAATAAAGAAATACCATATGATTCCCTTATTATTCCAAACAACAAAATTTAAGTTATTTCTAATAAAATAGTACAGATGATGGGACAGTTGAGAGACATGGCTTTTAATATATTCTTTAGTTAATCATTTTCCTATTTACTGACCACCATATTTAAAAATATATCAGTTTATTTATGAAACTCCTGATTGGAGGTAATATTTTAAAGGCATCTGTTGCACACTTAGATTTTCAAAACTCAGTGTAAATTCCAGGTTTTCATGATAAGTTGACTATAAGACTATTGAAACCGGTACATTGGGTCATTCCACTACTGCTAGCATATTACTAATGAGAACTTATTGAAATGTATTATTATATGCTTAAATAATAAAGGTTGAGTAGGAATAAGAGAAGCTGAGATATATTTTGCAGGTGTATTTTGTTAGTAGTGTAATTAAGGAAAATGCTGATTATGATTTTGACAGTTGGATCCTTTAAGTAGCATAGTTTATTATCTGCAAAGTTCAAAATTTCTTGGTTTATTCTTTACTAAGCAAATACTGTGTTTCCCCAATAATTAGAAGTGTTAGCAATGATACCCAAATACATTAACATTTTTACCTAGAACTTCCATGTGATTGATACATGAATTAAAAAGATAATGCATCATTAAAGTAGTCACTTAGACATAGTAATTGTTAAAGACACGTTTCTATTTCATGTTATGTATAACTTTTAAGATTATAATTAATTTTATACATCGTTAGGTGTTACATTATGTTTTACTGTTCGAAATTTTAAAGTAAAATGCTGATAAATTTATTTTGGAATTCAAAGTGGTTGATAAGCCTAGTGCTTTTATAAGGTCATCCTTTTGAGTTAGGTCAGAGAGCTTTTACAACTACAAGTGTCCTTAATCTGAGATACCACGGGTTTGGGGTAATTTATGAATCCCCTGAAATTGTGTGGAAATTCTGTGTGTTAACTGCAGGTTTTTTTTTCAGGAGTGAGTGAGTGTGTGGCTTTCATAAAGGGGTTTCTGATCAGAAGGGGGAAAAAAGATAATAATAGCTTCTTATAAAATAATATACCTTTTTATTCCACAAATCATAGATTTCCTTACATCCAATTCTCTTCTCCATGGAATCTTTGAGAACCTTTCCCTCTGCAATTCTTCTGTTGCCCCCAGTATCTGTTGCCCTTTTCTTTATAATTCTATGAATGAGTAAAAAATTTATGAGAAGTAAAGGATTCTGTTTAGGGAAGCTTTTTGAATAGATATGATCTGTTCAAGTCAGGACTAATAAAAATTTATAGAAGAATTTTCTTTACAATTATTTAAAATCCTCTGTTTTATTCAGTGAAAACAAAAACAAAAAACCATGTTTTAGATAAGTAACACTGAAACAAACTGGTGCAGCAAATATAAAATAGAGCACATGTAAATGTGAAGATTTCCTTTTTAAGGGTTTCAGGAATTTGTGATGAAAATGTCTCAAATCAGTAAAGATAATTATGATTTATTGAATTTATTGCTTCTATTTATTTCATTTTATTTTTTCTGTTACATTTTTTAGAAGGTTTCAAGTCAGCAAAACCAACATGATTGATTTGGGGTATTTTAAATGTTAATTTTTAAAAAAACTTTTCTGAATCAAAACTTCGGAAATTTTTCTTTTGCTTACTTATCCATTGACTGTGGTATAGTGTTGCCTTCTTTATTTTTAAGGTTACTTAATAATGGTTTTAGAATTATTTTGGAAAGTTACAAAGAAGTTTAACTGAAATTATTAGGGAAAAATTTCTAAATTTATGATGTTTTAAAATTACCAGGGAAAAATTCCTAAATTTATGGTGTTTTACTTTGCTGCTTTTTAGATTGAAGAACCAAACAAGCAGTATTCATTTTGTATCACAAATAGAAGACCCTTTGTTCACAGTAAAATAAATATCCTACCTAGACTAACAATAGATGTTTAGAGCTGTGGAATTCTTCCTTATATTACTTTTTCCAAAAAAGTGAAAACCAAAAATGTAGGATTTTGAGGAAAATCTGATAATACTAGCAACAGTCTAAAGGAATGGAAGTTAACTTTATCTATTAAACAAATACAGTAGAACCATTAGTTGAATAATATAAACCTCTTTTAAACAGTGTAGCCCACTGAATTAATTTAAAAAATGACCAGATAAAATCACTGAAAAGATATACTTTGGGGATTCTGGTGTATTTAGATGTTATCCATAGAAACGGTTTCTGCTTATATAATGGGAGAAGTGAACAACAGTGTGATGAAAATGGAATAACAAGTAGACATTTCAGTTGATAAATACAGTATCTCAACTTGGCTGCTATGAAGTTTGTTGTCTAAAGAAACTTTCATCTGCTTTTGTTTCTTGACACTGGTAATAATGATGGAAATAAAAATCTCAGCATCCTGTGATAGGAAGAGATTTATACTAAAATAATGATTTTACTTTTAGAAAGTGAGATTTAAAATATTAAAGCATATAATACCTGTGTTCATTTAGAAAATAAAGCAAACTTTCAACTCTCCAATCAGTATTCTGTCATTACTTAGATAAAATTGGAGGAGAGAAGGAAAAATAGATCAGGGCATGAGAATTAGAAAAGTATATAAAAATAAAGCTTGTCCAGTTGGTTTAAAATCTTTTTGAGGGGCGCCTGGGTGGCGCAGTCGGTTAAGCGTCCGACTTCAGCCAGGTCACGATCTCGCGGTCCGTGAGTTCGAGCCCCGCGTCAGGCTCTGGGCTGATGGCTCGGAGCCTGGAGCCTGTTTCCGATTCTGTGTCTCCCTCTCTCTCTGCCTCTCCCCTGTTCATGCTCTGTCTCTGTCCCAAAAATAAATAAAAAACGTTGAAAAAAAAATTTTTTTTAAATAAAATCTTTTTGAGCCTAGGAAGCTTGTGTCAGCTATTCTTAAGTGTCTATCTATTAACTTCCATTAGGTCACAGTGGTTTTTTTTTAGGTCACAGCCTTTTGTCAGAAAAATGCCAGATATTCATGTGTCATCAGCAAGAAACATCAGTGAGGCTTCCTTTTTTTCTGTTAGGCATACAACAATTATCCTTAAGAAACTGGTATTGAAAGTTACTTTTACATTTCTGAAGCAATAAGTGTACCCTCATAATTAATTAGAATTCAGATTTGAAAGTTAAATCTTAAGCTAAGATTTTTTTTATATTTTACTTGAATAGGAGTAAGCAGAGAAAATTTTAACTTGAATACCAGATTTTTACTTAATGATGATCGACACATGGCCTTTGTCCTGAAGTGTATTTTATATTGTGACTAAAGAAATCACTCATGAAAATCTTCTAGTTAAATTTAAAGAGGTTAACTCCTTTTATATATTTACTTTCACGAAATGAGTAGCATTGTCTTTATCACCTTTCCAATGAAAAGATGCAAGTACATGGACTATATTAAACATAAATATTAGATAATATGTACTATCACAGGGTATGTGTACGAGTGAGTGAAGGTTGGTCTCTTCAGATACATCAGTAAATTTGTCTTCCATTAATTCTTAAACCTGTCTGCAGGATGTAATTTTTGATATAAGAAATGAAATAAATTATTTTTCTTTTCTAAATCTAATCCTTTGTTTTCCTCTATCAGCCAGACTCCTAGCTTGTCCTAATTTACTGTTCCTTTCATCCGCTGACTCTGTTCTTTCCCAGTAAGTAGCCAATCTTAAATATTTATCACTCTCAACAAATATCCACTCTCAGTATTCTTTTTTGCCTAATTCGTTTATCGTATGTACCCAGCATTTGCTTTGCTTTAAATTTGATCCCATCCAGAACATTGTTCTGAAGAGTTTTTCTGTATCAGAGTCCTGGTGGTGCTTTTTCTGATGACATTGTTGCAACAACAGTACAGTGTTACCAGTCATCATTTCAATATTGTTAAAATGTTGGCCACAACTTTAGTTCTTTAATTTGAATCCAGCATTTTCTAAGCCAGTGTTTCTTCATTGAGATTGTAGATCAGACTTGTCCATGAAGATAGATAGATAGATAGATAGATAGATAGACAGACAGACAGACACACACACACACACAAACACACAGAAGTTTAGGCACTGTTCTGGACTTTCTGAATCTCTTGGTACAAAAAAAAATTATCCCAGAATTTAGATGTTGTCTTAAAATATTTTCTGCTATAGAAATTATATCCATCCATTTTTCGGAATCATTGCATATTCACAGGCTTATATGAAACTAGGTTTAATCTTTGTCCTTGGAAACATTTTGTCTAAAATTTGCTTGGAATGGCTTTCCTATCTTCATTTTGCTTGCCACCACAACAACCAAATTTCCTTTTAAGTTGCATCATTCTTATAATTTTCTTCAAACCCGTCATATTTGAATATTCTAACTAATAGTGGTTCCAACAAAAAAGATATTATGCTGTTTGCTTATATTAGTTCCTAGTGACTGTTAGTGAATATTGTTGCATATTTGAATTTGGTAACATTTTCAAGTATCAATAAAAAGCATGATTTACAAAATGCTAGGTTTAAAAATACAATTGGATCTCTTATAGCCTTAAAGGAAATGATATAATTTTTCTAATTAAAAAGCATTGGGTATATATATTCCCTAAGTACTTCTGATGACTTTATGGAAATAATCTTTAATTTTTTTCATATAAAAAGTCCTAGTA